TGGGTTAAAAATTACAAGGCTATGGAGTTGAACGTTAGTAGTCGTAAACTCAACATAGGGTAGGTCGATATCTTTAACGACGTTTATAAAATGTAAAATGAAACCTTTGCACCTCTCTTACAAGATTTAGCCCTTTCGGGAAAAGCAAATTTCGATTGATAATTTTAGTCAGGCAGAACTTAGGCTACTGTAACCTTAGCTTTGAATGAAGATACAGTCTTAATCTCTTTGTTGTTTAAAGGGTCATGGTTGCTAAACGTCTGTAGGCGATTAGTTTCATATTTCTAGTGGCTTTTAATATATATTTGTTGAATTAATGTTGCAAAAAAGGTTAAAATTGTGCCACGGCACCCCACTCCTATAACATTAGTCGGGTTCTTTTTTTTTTAATATTTATGCCCAGTCGGCCCTTTTTTCGCTCGGCAGGGCCTGATCTCATGCGTCACATTTTCGTCAATAATTGTGGTCGTTAATGGTTAACACCGGTAGACTTCGCGTTCCGTTAACCGTACAATTTTTATTCAACATATTTTTTATACTTTTTTTATTTTGTACTAGTTTAGGTCAAGATTAGTGAAAAAATCTTATGCTTAGCCTTTTAATAATTTATGGTTATGAAATATAGGACACTTTGGTCGGTGTCTTTTTCTGAGTTAAAGGTAAAATTTTTATCTATATATACATACAGTGAAGCCTCCAGGAAAGATTACCCCTGTGTAACGAGCTCCTCTACTTACGACAACTTTTGGGACGTACAGAATTTTTTCTATAAGCTTTGTGTTTAAGAAAGCCTTTAGGTGAGACAATCAAAATCTCTACTAGTGACCGGGCGAACCTCCTCACCAAATGAGGAAAAGGTGAAATAGGGAAACACAAAAAATTATTAAAATTAAAAAAGCAAAAACCAAAGAAGTAAATTTAAATTTATTCAAAATATTTATAAAGTTCTTTCTGCCGATCTCTGTAAATGATTGACAACTTTTTGTTATAGTTAGAGTACACTAAAGACGATGCTGTCAATGATATAGTTTTAGAGCTGTCTGTGTCGGCCATTAAGGCAGAGGGGGTGCCATCTATGGTCATGAGTTCGTCTTCTGCCACACCCATACGTCACACATGTTTATAGGGCGGACCCATTCATATATCCATTCATTCGTTCACAGATCGTAATTTTGACCAAAACCAGAGAACGAATAATCTCCAATTCAGTACACCCAGAGGTATTGATTTATAATGGGAACATGGAGGACTTTGCGACCCCTCAGATTTAAAGTGCACCAATCACCATTAACTACACCGGGAGTCTTCGGCCGGCTGGATTCGAACTCCCGTTCTCACAAACTTGAGTCCAACGCCCTGCTAACCAGACTATCACGGCCTCAAGTTTTAGAGTTAAAAGTTAAATTAGAAAAAAAAAAGTTTTTTTAGAAAAAAAAGCATCTCTAACAAACAAACCTCTCATTTTTATAAAAGTAAACTCGTTTTTGTGATATAAAATAAAATGAAAATTTAAAAAAAAAAAGGCATAATTTAAAATAATTTTATCCTTCAGAGTTGGTAAATTTGTTTCTACGCATAATTAAAGCAGTAGGTATTATTATCATATTCTTTGACCTGTTTTCATAGCGCCAACACAAGTGACATATCCGCACCCAAAAAAAATGACGCAGATTAAAATTAAAATTGCTTGGAGAAAAAAATCATGTACTTTCGATAACATTTTGATGTTACCCCTAAGAATGACCAACCTCCATTAACGCCCATTTTACTATGGAACAGAGAGTGGGTCTCGCCCGAGAGATTTCACTGTATACAGCCGGTGTGAGCATACCGCCCCCTTTACCGATTACAGTCGGTCTCAGCGTGATATTAGAAGTAAAGTTTCACAATAAAATCACGTGACTTCCGGACTCGCCATGCATGTGTAGTCTCTGACTTAGCTTTCCAAATCCAAAAAAAAAAAAAGAAAAATCTCTACAGGTTTCTTAATATTGAAACATATACATATTAAATAAAAAAGCTTCTACTTATCAGTTGATTTTGATTATTATTCATAAACCGTTCAATATCGAATTAATTTATAAATGAAGGTAAGCAAATGCTAAAATGCGATTCCCCCCCTTCCCCGCTGAAACAAACACAGCTGTTATAAACAAACACAGATGAAGAGAGAAGGATTCGTCGCATCATTTAATAAATATTTTAATCCATTGCTAATAGTCGTTATTTCTTTTTAAGGATTGAATAATTTAATGTTTTAATTTTATAAAAAATAAAATAGTAACCTGAATTTACTAACTCTTTCTTAAATTCATAACTTTATTACATTTTATTATAGCTGTTTCAGACTTAGTTAGAACTAAAAATGTTCGATTGATTTATTCCTTGCATTTCGCAAAACACATAAAATTTATTATTACAAGTAAGGTCATAAAAAAAGGTTTATTAAAGGTAATGTTATTAAAAAAAGGTTTTTTAAAATAAATTATTTATTATTTTAATTAGTAAAGTTTCTTTTTATTGTATTTCTTAGAGCAAACATCAACACTATAATACGATAATAAGAAATCGATTTTTTTCGAGTTTTATTTCGAAGAAAAAACGTTGATATGTAAGTTTTTGAAACGTAAATAACAAACACCGCTTACCCCTTCCAGTCTCTAAAATTATATATTTTTATCCGTTTAATTATAATTGATTGAATACAGGACTGCATTACCCTTTAAGTCATGGCCTGGGGCCCCCAATGATTAGGGGCCCCCTTGAAATGGAATTTTTGAAAATAAATTTTAAAAAATTGAGAAAAACAATGATTTTTCAAAATGTTATGTTTATTTTTTAGTTCTAATTTAATAAAATAAAGTAAAATTTAATTTATTATTATTTATTTCTATTTTAAATACGCTTTCTTAAATGAAAAAATATATATATATAAAAAATAATATAATAATAAAAAATATAAAATAATATACAAAATATATAAAAAATAAATAAAAAATATACGAGCGAAAATTTAATCTAAGGGCCCAAAAATTTGAATGGCTTAGGGCCCCAAGTACGCTTAATCAGGCCCTGATTCAATAATATCACGGAAATAATAACAAGATCTGGAAATAGCTAATATCCAGTGTTGCCAGAACTTAAGATTAAAAAGTAGCGAATGGGAGCTCCAAAAGTAGCGGATTCGAACATTTTTTTATTTTAATATGATAACTATCCAAAACTTAATTTTTATTTGTTTCATTTATTTATTGCACATTTGGCAAAATGAGGTGAAAAATAATAACTGTAACCATAGCAATACATATTATAGCTTCCTTTAAAAAAAAATAATTTCATCATTTACAACGGGCAAATCTAAGCTCTAGAGCAGGGATGGGCAAACGTTTTTGGTCGAGGGCCAAATATCGAGAAAAAAAATGTTTGGTGGGACAAATAAAACTTTCAAAATTTAAAAAAAAAAGCGATATACAAGTTTTAATTTAAATATTTAGTGAGATGAATGAAATTGCGATTTCGTTTTTAAAAGTTCCTTATATTAAGGTTCGAAGCGAGATGTGCCTATTTTACGGAACAAGGCTAAATGCTTTTCTGTTAGTCCACTTCTGAAATGATTCTTTCTAAGGTTCAAAGTTGAAAACTCTTGTTCACATATATAAGATTAAGCAAACATAGAGCTGATTTTCTGGGCATGAAATATTAAATTTTGGAAACTAGCTTTTGGTAATGATTTGTAAAACTTTGGCATATTTAGAAACAACTGCTTCAGATGATTGTTAGATTGTCCGCTCGTTGGATCTTAAAATGCGTAGTCTGCCAAATGTGAAGTACAATTTACCTATATTAGATTCCTCGAGAAAGACAAACGCTAGTTAGAGCCAATCTAAGACTATTCTATGAAGAACTTCTGCTTTCAACATTTTACCAATTGAAGCTGTCTGTGCTAACTATTTCCATCAATTTATGTTTTGTAGAACAAAAATAGAGAAAGTAAAAAGGTCATCAGTACTTTGTTAAAAAAGGAAAAACAGAAATAATTTTAAATAGTTGACAAGAAAATGGATGTATATTGTTTATGTATATTGCCACTGATCGGCAAATTAAAATTATATCCGCGGGCCGGATAAAACCTTCCGGCGGGCCACAGTTGGCCCGCGGGCCGTAGTTTGCCCATCCCTGCTCTAGAGAGATATAAAAATTTTCCTATTTTTCGTGCAACTGTGAATAGATCGTGATTTACAAAAGTGAAATGAATTCACTAAAAAGCATTTAACAGTACGATATTTTTTGGAAACTCATTGTCATTCACAACAACTATTTTCATTCATCAGGTAAAATGACTTTGGATTTAATTTTTCTGAGTTTCAAAGCGAGTAACGTGATTTTTTTTCTCCAGAAGATAAACGATTAATAATAGTTGGAGTTAAAAAACATTTTCCCCATCATACTCTCCGTGCATTTTTCCATATATATCTTTGCGATTTCCCGAGTCTACGATTTGAAACATAAACATGGAAAGATTATAGACTCCATCAGTAAAACATATCAAGAATCCAAAACTGAAGCGAGAACGTTTTCAACAACAACAACAAAAATGTCCTTTTTAAAAATGGTAAAGAAGCTGCAAACTTTCAGAATCATTTTATAATGGGAAGGGAAAAAATTAAAAAATATATATATATTTCAGTAAGGAAAAAAAGTAGCGCATATTTAAGATTTGTAGCGTTCGAAAAATAATAAGTAGCCCAAAAAGTAGCAAGTAGCGAAAATTCAATTTTCAGTAGCGGGGACTTTTAAAAGTAGCCCAATCCGCTACTTGTGGCCCAATCTGGCAACACTGCTAATATCTAAGACTTCTTCCATATTTTTTCCCTCCTGACTCACATCCTATTGTTTTCATAAAAAAATAAAAATACACTCGTAAGATGTCGCCCCACCCCAGTTCAGTCAGCACCTACACACCCATCTCCGCGCCTTTCAAACCGAAACTTTTTCGCCTCACCATATTCATTGTCATTGCTTGATACTGCTGATACAACAGATAGGTGATTTTACGTTAAAACAGAAACTTTTATCGGATTTCATTGTCAGTGAGTGGCTTTATAAACGATCGTGTTGTGAAATAAGTGTTCTTCGTTGACAGACAAGTGAAGTTGAAGTGATAGTGTTTGTATACGTAAGTCAAAAATTTATTTTTAACTTGGGATTTTTTTCCCTCTAATTTATACACGAAAATAGGTTTTTATTTTTTAGGTTTATTTTCTCCCGCACAATTTAGAATTCCAAAACAACATTGGGATTTTCTCCTTACATTAAATCTTTTAATGTTTAGGTATCTCGTTTCCTGGAAAAATTCCAATTAATGAAAAAAAAATTTTAATAATAGAAAATATACTAAAAATTTTATAAAATTAACATCTATTTTAGTTCGACAAATTTTTTTTCAGTTTTCACTTTCTTTGAATTATTAATATTTTTCGATCGTCAGACAATCAGAGTATAAAAATAATAAATATGTCTCTTTAATTTTGCTATTCCCATTTTACTTCTTTCACAGACGAAATAAACCATATTTTAATAACCTTTTCGACCCTATGAGTTAGGCATGTTGAAAATCCTTCTATTATTAATGTGAAAATTAAAACGTTTTTTTAAAAGTTACCATTGTACAAATATTGCATTCTTTTAGTAAATTTGTTTTAGTTTCAGTGTTTTATAACGGAAATTGATGTATGTTTTTATATTCAGAATAGATATAAAGTGTTAAATTTATTCTTTTAAATAAATCTTAGTTTATGGAAATATCTAATGGTCTAATCTTAGTTATGTTGTATAAATTGTATATAGTCAATTTGATTTCTCAAATATTTTCTGGAAAATTGTTTGACATTTGGTAAATTTAGACCATTATCTACTTTGCTGAATATATTGCAATGAGAGGATTGCAACCGATTAGGTATGAATATAATATTATTCTGAAAAAAGGGAATTCCCCTTGTTCCTGGATCCTTATTTTATTTTCTTAAAAAATAAAATTAAAGACATTAAATATTACAATTATTTATTTATTTTAGTTCATTGTTTGCCATATTCTAGATCAGGGCTGTCCAACTGCAAAGAGCCCACGGCCCAGAATTCGGGTCACTGATCACCTGGTGGGCCGCAGTTTGAAAAAGTTGAACAATAACCTCTTATACAATAACAATTAATGGATGAATTATTAATTATAAAACAATGGAACAGAAGGATTATAAAACAATTCGCTTACATTTTAATGAGAAAACTGAGGCCGATAAGCCTGAATAAGAAGTTGGCGGGCCGCACAGTATGAGTTGGAGGGCCGCCAATTGGACAGCCCTGTTCTAGATCTTAAAATCATTGAATTTCTTAAAAGTCTTATAAAAAAAATTTAGTAAATGTACAAAAATATTTAATTATATCAAGGTAAGAATTGTCTGTGAATTTAAATTTAATGTAATAAATTCGAAGAAAAGTTCGAAATCGTTCCCGTTATTCCTGGAGAAAATTTTTTTCTCGATAATCTCAAAGACGGTTCTTTTTCTAAAGTAATATAATAATCATTAACTAAAAATACTGTGATTCTCAACTACCGTATCACAAAATGTACGTTTATAAGCTTTTTTTTATTATATTTAAACTTCTTTGGTTATTCATTACTAAACAGATTAATTGATTTATTATTTTCTTTTCTTTTCCTATTTTCTACCTTTATTCACTAGCTGTATCAAGAAGTATTCACAATAATAGTTGCTATAATTGTGCGAAAATGTAATAATATGCTTTTAAAATTAAAAGTATATGATCTTAAATTAATATAATCTTAATACTAGTTTAACAAAAATGTAAAAAAAAAACTAAAAAATTGTTTTGAAGACTATATATTACAAAAAGCGACAAATTAACAGTTGGTTTAGTAATGAGAATGAGGAGGGGGTAATTGATTTTTTACTGTTAAAAAGGTTGAAAGGTTGTTAAAAGAGTCGAATGGCTTGGAAATTTCGAGCCAATTCGCTACTAACTTACAAGAGTCAAGTTAATTCACACAACAGTGAAATTTTCTACTTTTATACATTTTATATAATATATGTTACATCTTGCTGAAATTGAAAATACCAAAATATTGTTTTTAATTGAGCATAATATTATGGTGGCAGCGATTTTGTCATACTACAAAGTCATGTTATGCTAAACATAAATAACACCACGCTGAAAATATGGTGTTATGTTTAGTGTATTTAGTTCTTTATACAATTACATAAATTTAATGTCTGGAGTGCAAGTACCATTTTTTTCTGAGAATCTATTAAATTGATTTTTGATTGTTTTACATTAAAATATAATTTGCAAAATTTCTACGAAGGAGTCCAATTAGAGAAAAGGAATAAAAATTTAATAATAAGCACAATAATAAAAAGAAAAAGAAATGTAAAAAATAAGGGATTCAGTAATTAGACACACTACAAGCAAATACCATATTTCTATCACTTTTCATCGGATTTAATTACAAATGTATCAGCATTTATAAAATAGATGCAGTTTTCATTGCGCGTAGGAGTTTTTATTTTAATTAGATTTTTTTATCTAGTGTTAAATTCTGGTTTTTAGAGTATTTTTTTCGAATGCCAGAGTTTGCATTCAATTAATCAAATTCATCAGAAGCTACGAAACCTACGTGTAATTACATCAATAATATTTATGACACATTTTTTTAATTAATCAAAGAAAGATATGATTGCTACAAGCCATCACGAAAAGTTCAAAGTTCGCGAAAGTTTATAATAAATAAATAAATTTTCTGTGTCGCATTTCTAGATCTCTGTGATTCAACTTCTCAATCCTGCATAAAATTAAATAGTAAAAAAATAATATTCTCTTTATAAAAATGTACATAGTTGTTCACCTTCAAGGGTGTTTTTTGAATATCTTTCGCCAAGTCAAATTAAAACCCCATATTTTAAGCATAGACGTAGCTAAGGGGTCTAGACTCCTAAATTAATCAATTATTAATTAAATATTGAATTATTAAATTAATTATATTATTATTATATATATGTATACAGAAATTTTCAAATACAAATTGGAGTCTCCCCCCCCCCAAAAAAAATAAAAAATTATTGTCACCTAGCTCCGTGTCTGAGCTAAAGTGTCTCATACTTGATGTTCTGCTATAATTTTAAACCATAAATACCGTTTTGCCATAATAGATTATCTGAGCTTTGCGGTCTAATAGCTTGCACATATTTTAAAGTTATTGAACTTTTTTTAAAATTTCTAATTTCACAAGATTTTCTTCGTGGAAAAAAAATCAATGAATAGTTTTCAATTTTAGCTAATTTTTATGAGCCCAAATAATAAATTTTAAAAAATGAGTCCACAAACGTTTTTCATTTTCACAAAACTGCGGGATTTCTTTTTATTGATGTTTTGTGCAATTTTCCTAATCAGCATAGAGTGCGCTGCATTAAAACTTAACTTACATGAATAACTATTACAAATTCAAAAAAAGATACAATAGTATATTATTCTTTTTAAAAAGCTTTATTTCATGTGGGAACAGAACTATTGAAAAACAGCCTTCATCTAGAAAACCTATTCTGTTCACTGTTCATTGATTTTTTGCCAATTTTATTTTAGACTAATGTTTACGTTTCGTATTATTTACTATGTTGCGTGGTTACTGTTACTTCATAATCTGTCCTTCGTGCTCTCTTCTTCATAATCAGCGCACTGAAGAATAAAAAAAAAAAAATAAAAAATAGCGCATCTATTTTAATTTTTCACGTTTTTATTTCTAGGGTCTATCACAGTGATTTCCAACTGGCGGCCCGGTGGCCGCATCCGGCCCGCGAAGCTTTTTTTGTGGCCAGTTTAACTATAATATATTAGTTGTCATTTTTTTGCGGACAATTTTCGTAAAAAATCTGTATGGGTTTAAAATACTTTTCTCCTTAATAAAAACATACTTTCTTCGTTTCTGTGAAATTTAACATATCAACGGTGCAAAAAAATTTATTTCTCAGGTTTTGTATCCAAGAAAATATTTATTCAAATACAAAAATACTGTTTTTTATTTCATTTTTTTGTATTTTGTGAATATAATTTAGCATGTGTGTATCAGAAATTTTCTCGGAGAAATTCTCCGATTTAACTTTTTGAAACCACTCATTTTGGACGAAAATATTTACGCACACATTTGTAAATTTTAAATTTAAAATGTAAATATCTATTGTCAGGTGGTTGCAGCAGACAAACCTCAATTTTCTCATTGAACATTTTGTGTGCTTGTAAGTTTTAATACCAATCTTTTTAAAGTTTTATATCTTAACAAATAGATATCTGTTGCACATTATTTGTTTAATACGTAGGTGCACATTTAAGTTATTGTAGCCCGAATTTTTTAATATGCAATTAAATATTTTTAAAAATCTACTAATTTTAATTTGTAATTCAATATTTTTGTTTTGTACAATTTGGTAAAAATCTGACAGTAATATTTAATGTTCTTTCAAGCATAAAAGAGTCCTACATAAAATTTAGATTAAGTTGCGGCCCGCCATTTGATTTGTGTTTTTAATTGTGACCCCCGGCCTCAAGCAAGTAGGAAACCCCTGGTCTATCATATAAACTCATGTTTAATTTCGGAGCTTTTGATTTATTTTTTTTTATGTTTGAAAAATTATTTTATTTCTAAATTTAAAAATCTTTAAGGGCACCGCCGTTGTTTTGGGTGTTCAACTGAGCATTACACTTTGTTTTGTCGCGCAAGTCTAAAGTCACGTCTTGAAATTACGAACGAGTGCAGAAAATGTACATCTATTAAATAAAAAAAATTGGCATTCGATAATTAGTTAGAGAATTTAAACTGTTAAACTTGGAATAAAAATGCTATGCGGATAGCTCTACAGACCGCAAAATTCAACTGCGGAGTTTAAGTTTGACATATGAAAGGGCCATGTTTATTATACTTTTAATGAAAGTTGTATTTTGTTTTTAATTCCAATTCGTTCGAAAGTTATTTCAATTTCAAGTGCCTTTTTAATTTAGTTTTTCTTTTATTTATTTGTTTTGCTTTGCGTTACATTTAGAACAGGGATTTCCAACTTACATGAGGCCGGGGGCCGCATTTAAAAACACCAGTCAAATGGCGAGCCGCAA